AATAGTTCCTCTTTCGATATGTAGAAATAAACGGTAATTTGTTTACGTTCGTTTCTCTTGCTATTTTTACAAATTTTTAAGACTGAAATTTATTAGTCTGTTTCGATGCAATTTTGTCCTATGCAAACTGCCTCGATATTACCAGAGGGTACATGTATTATATGTAGGGATAGGCAGCTTCCAGAAGTCGGATACAAGACACACGGTTATTCCGTTTGAAGTAGCAGCTGGGTGGTTGTGCATTGAAGAGGTTCTCCGAGGCCCAAACTTAGCAGTGCCTGCTTGAAATACCATCGCGTTAGTGCATTGACCGTTCTCTGTAGATCTGTTTCCAAAAATGCAGCTGTCACTAACAGATTTTTAAAGAATCTCGAGGTGCACCGTAAAATGTTTTGTTCTGGAATAAAGAAAAATGTTGAAACGAACTCTAAACTATGCACAATAATTGGAGGACAACCTTTTGTAGATGTTACACCATATATTCTTCCATCATTTTCACAAGATCTCCAGCATTCAGAATGATATGCAGTCCATTTCTAGTATCGGTGGACATAATTTTTCACGAAGCACAGTAAAACGATATTTCCTATCATCCTATCACTCGTATATATAAATTTTTACTTGAAAGTGTGTAAGTAAGGCACTCGAAACGTTTGACTGTAGATTTGTCATAATGCTACTACCTAATCTATAACGTCGCATGTGAAGTTTACATCACCGTCTATATTGACTCATCCTCTTAACGATCAGCAATATGACGTCAGTCATTTTTGACGAACATATTTGAGCTGAGAAGAGAACAATGCACTTGATACCGATGTAAGCGTTTATAAGGAATGCCCACGCCTGCATGACCGAGACATGCCATTTCGATTTTTTCCCCACGTTCTCCAATGCTGAATGTTCAATATAAATCTTTTCAGTAACTATATGTTTAGCTTCGAAGGTCGTTTAATTAGGAACATATGCTACTACTCAACTTATTTATCAGAATCAACGTGACGATGGTCCGATGCCAAATGGAGTGGGGTTGTCGAGTGCCGCAGGTTACCAACAGGCAACAAAATCCCAACGGGTATTGATAAAGTGAAAGGTAAATATAAAAGGCGGCAGCAAATGATTGGAAAATACATGAATCAATTTCAAAATGTTCAGTTTAATTCTGATACACTCAGAATGAAAATCTACGTGAACATTATTTCAGCGTCAAAAAAAGTGGGATTAGCAAAATGAAGAATTTTATAGTACTGGAATATTTTGGGAAGTTACGTCAGGATGCGCAGCGATCACCGTGGTTAAGAACTTAACATATGGGCGGCATAAGTATTTTAGAAATCTAATCAACGTTATAGAAATGTTGATATTGTTATATTTGTTTTAAATTATAAAGTCAGTTAACATTTGTGCCGGTATGCTGACCACATGAGTTGATATCTAATTCCATATTCATTAGTAGGCTAACTGAATGGATTAATGTGTGACCAATGTTCAGGTTTGTTTGTTAGGTTCAATAACGTTTATTTGTTTACGGAGAGATTTTTCGACCTCATTATTGTTTAACTGTAACAGGATTTACTAAAAATACTGATACACATGAATCATTATCAAAATGCCTATATTACCTATATAACCATGCGATTTTTGAACAGATGGCTAACAGAAACTATTCAAACATGAGTGGGTAATTGAGAGACATGATCTAGAACTAATGTTTGACATTCAGTTAAATTATTAGTTATATTCATACTTACCAGTCGACGGTGCAAACACGTTCGTTGTATGTATCGTCTTTGGCATAAGATAGGAATCGACTTATTTGAAATAAAGTGATTGTATGATGTTGAAATCAAGTGGACTCATGCACTGCGAATATAAGTGACGTGTTGTCGTACGATACTTCGCTTGAATCAATCTTTGCGAAATGGTAAAAAGTGGGTGCTGCTCATGTGATTGCCATGGAGAACATAACTTGTAACCAAGGTCATTACAACTCCCAACTCAAGTCTATGGTAATGGAATGAACATGTGTCAGTGTCTTGGCAAGTTCGACAGCAATGTTTTCGGTTCCCCGGAGGTTTGCTCAGCTGCTCATACCAAAATAATCCATAACAGATAAAGATAACCACGAGAAAACAACATTATTTAATGCTAACTATAAGTTAGATTATCGACAGAGTTTCGGCTAATAGTTTCACCAATTTTATTAATCATATTACATGATTGTCATGGCACGACGGTGCTTACTTATGACATTTAGAAACCATTATGGATAACTAGTTACAGTGTTGGTTGGGAACTAGCCAATCATAAATGGGTATTGTTGTTTAAGGTGATTTGGAAGTATCAGAAGTTTGTGGCTTTAATTGGTTCGAGCTGTTTTATTGTATTGCAAATTACTGTCCAGAAATACTTGCCCAATTAGTATTTATTCCAGCAGCAGGCTCCAAAGATCTTGTGTTAGACGGTTACTTGACTAACAACGATTTGTCAGTTAAGTTGTTGTTCCAATGCAGCAAGGTAACATCATATTGCGGTGACTCTGTGATGGTGTCGATTTCTAACTACACGACCCTTGAAGTTGAGCATATCATTGCTTAGAAGATCCATATTCAGCAATTAACACGAAGAAAAGTTCAGCAAGGGTACGGGAGAGATTCAACTCAGTTAATCGCATAGCATGTATCAGCCTCGCAGACGTGGTCATTCTGTATAACTTGTCTTTATTCACACCAAGTATATTATTCTCCCTTCGGCCTAAATGTGCAAGATGTTATATTTCCCATTCTTACGACGCGATGAGTTAGTGTGGACAATGATGGGACTTCCGCGTAAGATCTCGTAGATTAGGTATTCACATCATGACAAATCTACAATTTTAGGATCAGATCTATTATTAAGCAGTACTAAAGCCAAACTGGACCGTAATTATATAACTTTATTATCGCAACTACTTTCGATGCCTTTATATGCCCAATATGATAGTTCAATTCATAAACCGAATTACGCATTTCAATATAGACTACGATGGGTTTAGTGGGAAATTGTGAAGGCGGTGTATATAATTGTTGAATTCAAATGGCATAATGATATGATGCGATGCATGTACAAGTCAGGTTGATGTGCACGCTGATTTCGTCAGCATTTTCGACTGCAAGAATAATTATCGATGTGGTACACTTTAGTTATACCAAAGTTCTCGAGTATTTCTTTTCTCCTGCCTTTCAACTGAGGGGAGAGTGACTATAAATAGGTTCAACCGCTTATCCCCGTCCATGCAGTGATATTCACCTGGTCGAAAAATATATTGTCAGTATCAGAACATTCACAGAAAGTTACTAAAAAGATTATTGATTAGGCTCACATAATATTAGCTCACACGGCACTGATTTTCTCTAAAGCAAAGCTCATTTTAGACACAGAATGACAGCGATGACCTTAGAATGTTTGAGATCAAATGATGAATACATCTATTAGCACTATTGCTTATTACTTCGTGTACCGTATGAAGTTATGTTCGGTAAAAAACCATAAGGAAACCTTAAGCTAGCCGAAGATCCACCCCAGTCGGTAGGAATATAGAGAGGCGTTGATCTTGTAGATCATCAACTTAAGTGGTCTATACTGATAATCAAGGTTGTCCTTAAACTTGGCGGGGAGCGTTATGTTGTTTGGCAACCACTTATCAGTCTGATGGATAATTTAGCTATGATTTAATGGGATTTCATTGATATTAAAAGTTGTTAATGGTCTTCTAGATATTAGAAATCGACATCCCCCTGGACAGTTCGAGCAGTCTTACCCGTTGTCTATTATTATAAATAACCTTAAGTGAAGCTTCAAGTATTTGGCTGTGCGTAGCATGCCATTCGGATATTGTTGTAACGTCTTTCAGTCTTTACACTTCAGAATTCAGAGGAAGATTATTTTCATTCTCAATAGCCGAACATGCGTGGCTAAAGGATGTAAACCGCGAAATGTTTTTTATATTCTCTTTTTCTTCTTCAGAATCTTGCTCTGAGAGCACAATTATGAAACTTCTGACGTTTGGAACAAACTTGACGTACGCGTCCTCTCAAGGTCATTGATTACAGCAAGCGCTCTACGATTTCACTTTATAACATCTATAAACTTAAGTTGGGAAACATTTTGTGAACCGACAAATGTTGTAATTTGTAGATCATGCCTGTAGAAACGGTATGTACATGCACATGCAGAAATATATTATTATTTTTCAATAAACATTATTTTGTAAGTGAGTTTACTTTCTTACTACATGGGAAACTGGTTAAGTGTTGAGAAAGTGTGTTTGATTGTCAGTGAACTTACGGTTAAATACACATACTATATTAATAATACATCACCTGTTTATACTTTTGCAGATCTTTTCAAATACCAGTAAATTGGCAATTACTATAAAAGTGAATAACGATTTATGCTCAAGCTTCTGCTATAATGTTGCACAATAATACTCCTATCCTTTTCAATAAATTTATTAAAACATATACCATTTTTCCCGTGGATTGCAGTTTTAGTGTGGTTTGTTGTGGGGATAGAGGCAAACATAGGAGACCTTTGAGGTTATGCCAATGGTGTTTTAAAAGTTGGGGCAAAAGTAGACAATTAGGCGTATAATAAGGCGAAAAGTAGACAATTCAGCGACATATGAACGACAGAGCGACAAAAAGGGGGAAATCCGCATCATTTTACTTGGATAGGCGAAAAAGCAGACATTTTGGCGAGTTTCCCGCTTATTTCCTCTTATTTTCCAACGCATTTTCCACTTCAATTCCCCTTTGTTCGCCTTTATTTCCCCTCTGTTGGTTGATTGGGTTATGGGTTTCCTTTTTGTTTTATTTATCTTAACCTCTGTCCAGAAGTATACATAACTCAATAATGCTAAAAACGAACTTTAATTTGAAAACGCTTTCTTTCATTCCCTCTATAACAGTTTTCTATTCCTCTGACTAGGCATGCGTATTATTGTTTGTGTTATTCGCTATTTGGGCCTTGTGCATCTAGCCGCCCATTATGAATTGTGTCTCAAAGTAGTCAATTTGGGGTCTTGTCGAACAAGTTTGACGATCTTTGCCCAAGATAATTTTGAGTTTTTAACATACTCAACTTCCTATATTTTCTCAAGAACAATCCTCAGTTTACTACGTCACCTGTAGGTTACTTATAGTTCCTCATCAAATTCGGTGAGACTATAATTTGTGGACAAACCAATCAGATATAAGATAACGGATCTTGGATTTGGGCGCAAAATTCATCTACCCATTTGCATTAATGGCGTCTTGCCACTTTGGCTGATTTCAGTTAGTGATGAAAACTAAATCTAAGTCTAACCCTATCCGTCGACTGTAAATCGAAATTCTAATTCCTCACACTGCCTTATAACCAACATTTATTCCTAGTGAGTGAACATTCTCAGGGTCACTGTGGCGTCGCCTTAAGGTCGTCCATAAGTTATAGTCTCACCGAAAACTTGGTAAAGGCATACTCCACAGAAAACGTCAGGAGACTTGTCGGCCTAGTTATAAAACAATTAGCATTGTAAAGCAATAAAACTGCAACGGATTAGTAAGCGTTTTGTTATCATTAACCCATATGTCTATTTATCTGGTGTACAACAATACGTATTAAATGATTAAGATCAAGTTTACCTATTAGCAGTCGGGTGTGTTGTGATTTAGGGCTATCGCTCCATGTGGTTTTTGTCACAAATGATACTAGTCCTAATGCAGGAAGCATAGATCTGGGTGTTTAGAGATGCTGGTGTCCTGAAATTTTGTTACAAAACGAAGTCAAGGTTTTCATCACGAACTGACGTCATCTCTAGTGCAGTAGTTCTCCTTTATCCTTTTACAACTTTATCAAACTTTGGTTGGTGTAAGGTATGGTTTAGAAGAGGAGAATGTTATCTATCTTCGGTGAACACTTGATTGCGCATTGACTAAAATCAAGTACTTTAATAAGCAATCTGCATTAGGAGCACATATGTTTTGCAATTTAGCTTAAGGACTATCTCAAATTCGTTTTTCGCTTGCATGGTAGATATTTCTATTAATTTCAACTATTTTAAAGCAAATTGTTCCCACTTTTTAGTTGATAGTGACAAAAGTCCCTCGATCACTTTACTTGCTCAATTACGTGAGGCCTTTATATTTTGATAGGAATCTGAGTGACACATTCTCCACCGTCCATAAGAATACGCGATTACATACTATCAATGTTTATTAACCAAGTTTCCTGTTAAGCCCGTCGCTTTCTGTGAGAGCACTAATGGCGCTGTCAACTATGACGTTCGGTTTTCCCATGAATTATAATGCCCAGTTGGAGTATTTGCTTCCGGTTACTTAAGTCCCCTACAAATGTTTTCGAAATTTGTTTACAGTCTGTTTTAGGGTTGTAATGTTTATCCGCTTACATTGTTTTCTAATCAGTCTGCTTCCTATTTCCTATTTTCTCTAGTTTGGTTATCGTCAGGTGTCCTTGAATCCATTTCGACTACGAACTATCAGCATCTGTTTTAAAAGGTTTGAATTCGTTCCTTGCAAATGCGGCGGGAATCGGATCACGAGGTACATGCTCACTATTTTATACACCTTTCAGAATCCAAAATACATTCATGGGGGATTATTCAGTAAATTTAAAAATGTGCTGGATGCTTCTGATGATGAATTCAAAGCGATCCACAGAAACTCTCACGAGGCCATTGACTTGATGGAAAAGAAAGTTAGAGATGAATTTTCTACCGATGGTTTGTAGTTTTTGAAATATCTATGCTGCCATTCCAGGAGCTCGCCTCTCAACTCTGTTGGATAAATTCCACGCTAGACTGGGTTCTAAACCTAATAATGACATCCGTCACAAAGTAAACCAATTAGCATTGCGACTTTCAGCAATCGATTGTCGTAGTTGTTCTATCCACAGGTATCTGTTTGTTCCGTATATATTATCCAGCATCAAAAATCGTATTCTTGCATCCAAAGAATACCAGGATAATTTAGAAACATTGGTCACCTCTTTAGAGAATTCATACAATTCATTAAGGACAATTATTATGGAGGTCGATGCGATGGAAAGGAATTTAATAAGGTAGATTATTTTGCGTAAAATAACCCGTTAATTTGAGAAATATCTAGTACAACTAAGTTTTATTATATCTCAATTATCCTTATTTCCAAACCTTCAAGCGTCTTTTGTCAATGGACATCGTAGATATCTGTTTTGTTCAGAGCTACATTTAACCCTTTTTATATGATTTTTGAAGTCATAGTAGCTAATAACTGATATTAAACGCTGAATTCAATTTACATGTCAAGTCAGTATGTTCGTCGAAATTTGGCCGAATAGTTTCACAGTATTTGAACGCTGAGTTCATGTTAAACATTAGGGAGGAAGAATGTATTTGTAAAATCCCGCGAAGAATTTGAAGTAAATCCAACGTTACTATGGATGGGACTGGATGACCTGTTTAATAAACAGTCAACAAGAGAACTTATTCATATTCGGTCATTTTGGTGTTTGATTATCTTTCCTTGAAAAAGCTTGGAGCAGAGTGTCAAGCGGAACATTGGATTTCAAATTCATTCGCTGAGATTTTACAACTACATTCTTTCTCCTTAAACATCAATAAACCTCAGTGGATATCAGCTAATTCGTTTCGGCTAATTATTACGCGTCACGAGAAATACTGGTTTACGTGATTATTGTTTTAATTGAAATCTGTAAAGCAAGCAGGATTTCTTTAGCTTGATTTAGATTGTTGATTATCCAAGCGCTTATAAAAAGTAAGAATCATTGTAATTCAACTAAACAAGGAGGTCCTAAGTTCATTTAAATGCCTCATGGTCAATAAATTTTGTCACTCGTAGTTCTCAGATCTCAATTATAATCTATCGACTGGATTTCCCCAACAAAAGTACTTGTTAAGTACGTATTCTCTAGGTTTCCTGTTTGGACTGGCATAGGCTGATTTTTTACTCTGGGTTGTCCTAAATTGCGATTTCTTTCTCTCACTACTCTAAGTTATGTTTAGGGGATGAATCTCAAATTTTTTGCTAGTATTTTTAAACTGCTACTACGAGTCTTGCTTACCGATGACTATCAATATATAGACTTCATAGACATCACGTTTAAGGGGGGAAATTAAGTAATAAAGCTCACCTAAAGAGTAGAATCAGTCTTGTTTACACCAATCAAAGTCTCGGTGGGTGGAATAGTAGATAAGTTTGAAAAAAGCTGGACGCCTTGATGAACTCAGTATCTTATTACGCTTGAGTAGCACGAATTCAGTCAATCATAACGTAGAAATTACGCCTGTATCCACTCCCGTGGAGGGGCATAGGCTTCCGACCAGGATTCTCCAACCAATTCTGTCTTGTTCTCTCCCTTCCAGCTGTTTCCAATCGCCATTCATTTTTTTATACCTGTCTCCGATTCCCGACGCAATATGTTCTTTGGTTTTCCTAATTTGCCTGTTACCGTTAGGATTCCAAGTCAGTGCAGTTTGAGGATTTCCGCAACGTATATCTTACCCACCTTGAGCGTCTTTTCCTAATTGCTTCTTCAGCTGGAAGTTGATTTGTTCCCTCCCACAGCACTAGTCTTTATCGTCGTCGTTGTTATCATTGGTGGATGCATAGAACTGGATAATATTCTTTGTTCTGAAGGTTGCTTTGATGATTCTGGACTCATGAGATTCCCATCTTATAAGTGGTTTTCATGCTTCTCTGTAGAGCATCAGTGCAACTCCTTGTTTGTGCAAAGCATTTTCTTCTTCATGGCCGGAGTACAGCAACACCTCTCCCCGATTGTAATCCTTTCTCTCCAGCTTGCATTGTACGAATCCCCACCATAGTCTTTGGTTACCCACATAATTTGCTTCTTGAATTTCGTCTTCTAATTAAATGTAACCCATGTAAGATTGTTGAATTTACTATGATTAGCTACATTGGTAGATTATTGTGTCCATTTTTATAAGTATTTTCGGTATCATATCCTTTTGCTCCAACTACCCGTAACTGTTGCGTTACATGGTTGTCTGATTTTTTGATTGAACAAAAACTTTTTTATACAAGTCTGTGTAATCTTAAGGTATTTTGATAGTAGTTATTTTTTGTTGACCATATTCATTGTAATATTAATCAGCTAGCAAGGCTGGTCATCGTATGTTTCTGTAAATTTCTAGGTTTTTATTCATTATTTCTGCTCTTTGTTTTTTATGAAGCACGTTTAATTATCTGATATCATAATTATGTTACTGGACTAATTCGTCCCATTGAGGGATCATGCAATGAACATTTCCTTGTTTCGTAACTAAGTATATCATTTTAAACATAAAAACACATACTTAGTTAATAACATTCGTATATGTTCATGAAAACGCCATATGGAAAAACGCTCATGAAAAAGACCGGGCAATGTTTGAAATTATAGTGAATTTTGTAATTACTACCTTCAGATTGATTTCGTGTTTCGAAAACAAGTAAATCGTAATTTCAAACTGAATGTATTCTTTTGTTCTTCATAGGTTTTCTAGTGATTGGCGTCTCTCTCAAGAAAGCGTGTTGTCAGATATGCGTTCCATGCAGCATATTAAAGAAAAGTATTTAAATTTATCGAAATCCCTTAGTGAATCAGATCGTCAATTAAGTGTAAGTTGCTTTACTAATTGGACATTTTTGTTACTGATAGGAGTTATTGTCATCCGTTGAAAAAGCACCTGATCAGCGCCTTCTGATGTCATGGAAGAAAGTGTGTTCTATTCGTCTATTCACCTTACCAGTCTTTTTTATTAGGAAATTGAGGAAATCAAAGAACGAAAGGCAATATTATCTAATCGTGTAGACCAGTACATGGGGATTGATATCGTAGGATTGGGAATTTCGTACAATATATTTCATTTTAGGATACCACAAAAGCTGAAAAACAATTAAGCGATGCTCTTTCTCAAATGGTATGGTTTCTTTTGCTGGGAATAAGTTTTCTTTATCTCTACTAGGCATCAGTTGACTCACAGTTACAGAAAATTATGGGCTTCAACGCATGGAATTAGAGCTAACTCCTCAATAGAAAGCACTTACACCTCAAAAGCTTGTTGTATCTTGTCTATTTCACTGGTTACTTGGGTATAAGCATTCATTGCCAAACGGAACAGCACGATCTCTTGACTTTTTTGTCGACATATATTTATACTGTTAATTTACTTATAAAAAGATTTTAGTCTCAAACATTCTTATAATTCTACTTCTATGTTCATACACATGTCATAACTTTTGTTTCGGAAAGACGTAACAATAGGAATTTAAGCAGTTTCCTGATTCTTGATCATAATCAAATTATTGACATAGTTATGAGGAGTTGGTTCTTACGTAGGTTAAAGTTTTGGTTTTTATGTATTGTAGTTCCAAGGAATTTTATAAATTCTTATGTGAAAACATTGATTTCTTCGAAATTGGTTGCACTGGAGCTGACGATTCTCTTCTTTGACATCTAGCTTTTGAACATAATGTCATTTTGTACTTTTTATTTTGATACAACCTATTCTTTCTTGTGAGACTCCATTATACTGGTAACGTTTTTTCCAGGTGCTAGTTCGTTTTTGCCTGTGTGTCGGTTAGCATTGCAAAGTATGATACTAAATTATAGCCCATATATCAAACTTGAACAGAATTGCTTTGTTCAGGATTACCATCATTTTGATTTTCCTCAGCTGAATGAATCTTGCGGATTATTCCACAATAATATTAATGTAGTTCTGTCTTGCTTACCTAGGTTATTCGATAGTATCTGAACAAATCATTTAAATGTTTTAACTTTTGACCACTGATGGCTAGATGATAGATTTCTCGTGAATTATTCTTTATCAGAATGAGGATTTGTGGACATTGTAGTAATTTTAATAGTTGGATTTTTTAGTCGATCTAAGCTAGACAAACATTGAAAACCTCGAAGCACTAGACGGCCGTTTTTTCCAAGTATGGGACTCCTGAGCAGTGCGCATCCACGATCCCGCACGCGGGACTTGAATCTAGGGCTTTTGGTCTCGCGTGCGAATGCTTAACGTCTAGACCACTGAGCTGGCATCCAACGGTGCTAATGTCCAGTTCTAGTGGGAAGCCGTGACCAGTGGAGTCCCATCTGTGTCGGATGGCGATAGTTATCCACCTCAGACAATTGATGAAGGGTTGCGCAAAATCATGAATCGATTGAAGCTAGACACCAGAATAACGCAATAAAATGTATAAGTGATTTGAGTGTAAAATTAATTAGTTATCTTTATGTATATTAGAACTTCATCTGAACAATAAATTATAGAGAAGTATGTTATTTTATTATTCTGAACTTAATTAGCTTTTTTAACATAGTTCTGCCAAAAAAATGCACTTAAATTTAAAAATTACTTAAAATCTGTATTTGTAGTTCATCTTTGTATATAAAATACGCGTTGTGCTCTAAATACTTATTTAACCAAAACATGCTTACAAATAGGACAAAAGCTAGCTTGAAATTGAAATTGCCCCTCCGGTTCAGCGACCTCGAGCGGTGTACCTAAAGGCGGTCATCCCATACTTGAACTGCCTCACGTCGGTGGTGTGTTTGTAGGCTAGCCTAACTTGCTAATATGTGTGCCTTTGGGAGACCTGTATATTCCAGAAAACGCGGAACGATATATAGCCATGTGTATCGTATGCTTTTGCTCTGCCTTTCAACTAAAGGAAATCATAATTCTAAAAACTGCGGTGACATGTACTCATGACGGCGGCCTGCTTGAATATCTACTACCTGTTTCTGGCATCAAGATAATTCAAAAAGTCATCGGTTTTTTTAACAGATCATGTCTACTAATCACATAACCTATTCAGGTGCGTTTGTGAAGATTTTACGAATTTAGACTGTACAAGGTACAAAAAGCCCAATCAGACACATCGTAGTTGCTGGCAATATCCATCGAGAAGAATGCACATCATTCAGATGTTTTCTGAACTATTAAAATCTGACTGGTGAACACTTTGAAATAATTTGCGCTGATAATTCTATGTTAGATTAAAAATTTAATATTGAATAAAGCTAATAATAATGACGTCCACATATAAAGTAAGCAGTTTGTTTACCTGTGACCTATCCTAGTAAGAATGCCATTCAGCAACCGATTCCAGTACAACATGCTTGTACAGCTAATTGTTTTTACTAATAAATGTGTGCTTACCTTAGCTATACAGATACTCAGACGACCATCTAGAAAGCTGAATCATATAAACATATTTCACGATTATGTGCGATCGAGAGTACGTTTTGTATTAACAATGTTCAATAATCCCTAACTACTGATTTTCATATTACCAACAATGTGGGAAGGTATTAATAACGCGCATGGATGATTATGACATTTATGTGATGCCATATGTGACAAGCTTATAGTGTATAGTAAAACTATTTGGAGACAATGAAATTCATGTTACTTAATGTTAACATTATCTGGATAATTTGTTATACTGAGAATTCATATTACACTACATCTGCGTCGTAGTATGTAACGACTCAGATTGTTGCTGTCTAGGATGACTGACAGTTTAATAACGCCTTCAATGGATAGGAAATGCGTAACCTCTTTTAAAAGTAGTGTATCCGCTTTAATCCCCGAGATAGACGTCATATTGTGGTGTGTGCTACTGATGTCAACAGATATAAGTTGTATGCACCATCAATCGGAAATGTAATGTCTGACGGCGGAAGGTTAAGAAGATCAAATAAAAGAGAATATAGAGTGGTTGGTGTGAAAACAAAGGAATAGTAATGTCTGGGACATTTTGCAAATGAAGAATTTACTGTATAGTTCTCAGATTTTACTTAAAGATTCTGTAGTTTTGTGTTCAAGGACATTCGATTGCACTCACTAGTGTTCTCGTTCACTACAATATTGCTAAATATATGACATCGGTTTGCAATATTTTTGTCAATGTCTGTCAAGCAAGAGCAAAAGATGCAGTTGCATTAGTATATTGAGCTTTCCAGAGGACATAACATGATCCCACGGAATACCTTTTTATAGAATGGGAAATAACGTACTGTGTAGTGAAACAATGTGTTTAGAAGTAAACATTGCAACGCTGTTATCAGAGAAACTGGTGTACAAATTTATTTTCATTTCTGTGTATAATATCGTTTTGGTCATGTAACTGCCAAATGCATTACTACAATTCAATTCATTATTTCCACTGTAGTACAGTTGCTGGTGATTCTAAATGCTAGTGACATTCAAGCAAATTGAAAAGAGGTCTAATCATGATGTTATCCAAATACTACTATTTCCCCAGTCCATTTGTGTACACTCAGTAATACTTTACTTCGATTGTTTCTTACTGCCGTACAAGCAAGTCAATTCAAGTACTTACATATACATTCATGAATATCAGTATTCTAGTTCTTAATTCATTTATTCTCAGTCAACTAGTATAAATATAACGAATATGATGGAACTGTGTTTGCACTGCTGAGTAGTCCTTTAGTGGCCCTGAATATCTGACTCCAATTTGATCGTATGTTGATTGCTATCGAAATAGACATATCGCCAATCCTCGTATAAAATTATCGACTTAACTTGCGTTAGTGAATAACTGAATTAAATAAGTCGAGTACGAGAATGGATTTCGAATGGACATATTTCATACAATCGTTGATCCAGACAAACGAGTGGAGAAACAAAGAAAAGTGAACGAAATTGTGCACGGTGGAGAAGGCGCGTGAGCCAGCTCGATTTAACCAAGCGTGAACCGATATTTAGAGTCACAAACATAAGTTACATACATATAACAGTAGGATAAGAAGTGCACACATATACGCCTATATAAAAACTGTCAAGGTTGTTAAGCGGATAATTAACAAGGGCAAAATGTGATTCAAGAAATGTGAATAAATTGTCCTGTCCGGAAGCTGGCATAAGCTATATGGGCTTGACATAGCATCCGACACTACAGTCCCATACTAGAACGAAACGGCCTTCCAGTGCTTCCGAGTCTCAAATGGTAGTCTAGCTTAGATCGACTCGTGATTCAAACTGTTAAAAGATCACTGAGAATTATTCTATGGAATCGTTGGTTACGATATATCCATTTCGCTTTTAGCTCTATGTAAGCTATAAGTAATGATCAATTCAGGAGCAATGAACTATAGAGTTAACTAATTTGATATTGATTCCCAGCGTAGAAACTACGCTTACGAATGAAAAAATCCAATCGACTCCTCAACAACCCCCATCATCTGTTAATTTTGTCACTTCTCTAAGTATTGTAGAAAATAATAAAATAACTTCAAATAGCATACCTGTATAAAATATTATTACTTACGGTGGTTCATTTCAATCATAAAATGCTGGGAATCTTTAAAAGCAAAAGCCTTTAGCACAAAACTAACATTCTGGTTCATATTCATCAATAAGTCATTTCTGTGATAGTACAGTCATTCAACTACTAAGTGAAGTAATTTACCACTGTAAACGTTTACACAATCGTTTGTGCTCTAAAAATAAAAGTTTGAATGCGATCAATAACTGAAGAGCTTGTTTTTAACGATCTCAATAAAAACCACAGTCAAGCATAAAGATCCACGGAAACACCTTGAGGTAGATCTTATGTCACGTCATCTTTACAAGATCTACATGTCTTCACGCTATTGATGCATTTCTCTGTAGATAGCTTCAAACAAGTGTACCAAGAGAAAAAAATAAACCACACACTACTCCCGGTTGCAAGCAACAAATACAAAATGAAAGAACAGAAAATAGGCAGGTAGCTATGTAATGAATGAGAAGAAAGTTAGGAACAACTAATGTATTTTAAGATGAGATCACAGAGTACCTCGCTAAAATGTAAGAACCCCAAATAAAATACTTCATTTGCAAATATTCCTTCAGTTGTCTCAAACCTCATCGTTCCTTCATTAACACTACAATTACTGTGTTTCCGTTCTCCTCAATTTGATCTTCCCAACGTTCTGCTATCAGGTGTCCCATTTCTGACTGGTGTTATAAACTACTTATATCAACATAAGTAATATACACCACAATTATACATACGTTAAATAGATATTTTTTGTGAACCTAAATGTGCATTTGATTGGAATTACGTACTTCACATATTTAAACTACGAAGCACTGTTCACTAGGTAAATGAAAAAATATCAGTGAAAAACCTAATTGTTAATGAGTAAAAAACTGTCACTTCAATTTTAATTACGTCTATCTTCATTTGATAAGTAAAACTAAAAACAAATTTTATGTCTTTGGCTTAACTGAATATTTCAACAGGCGGAATAGTTAAGTGGGGTAAAAAAAACGTATGTTTCTAAATAATCTTGACATTATAGGCAAAGATTAACATCAAAGGTATATGAATGAATTAAATGTGCTCTCAATTTTTTTTTATTGACTTGTACTAAAAAAACTGCGTGTGGATTGGAAATTCGGTTTGATTTGATTGAACTGAATAATAAAATGGAGAATAGATAAATAACAACATAAGTTGTATTGAACTTCTTTTCGAATTACAAATGCTGAATAAAAAATTGTAGAAGAGCATAATACTTGTCTCCATCAGTTAGACTTTTATTGATCACATGTCAGAAATAAAAGTTAGGATTTTTTTGTCTATTGTTGAGCTTTAGTGGCCCATTGATCTGACTCCAATTTGGAAGAACAAATAAATATGCCATGAATCTAAACCTTCCACTTAACTCTGTATACTACA